GCCCCAGGGCTTAGAGGAGGGTATTTCGGGGCTACTACAGAGCCTCCCCAGCCCCAGCCCCTGGGCGGTCCACATGCTCCAGGAGGAAAGGCTTTGTGTAAATGAAGACCACCAGGCCTGTGGCTCTGGCTCTCCCTCTCTCCGTGGTGGGAGCCTCTGGAAGAGCAGAGTGCAAGGTGCCTTCCTGATGACAGAAAAGCAGTGTCCCCAGGAGTGGGGAGCTGTCAGAGGTGGTGGGTTGGCTGGGGTTGACACTGAAGTCCAGAAAGCTCCTCGGAAAACAGCCTGGGAGGCAACAGAAGAATAGATCATGGGGAGAGGGATGGAGAGCTCTGGGTACACAGACTGAGGACGACCAGAAAGGGGAAATTGGGGTCCTGCACAGGGGTGGGTGGGGGGAAATAACAGCCCCCCAAGGATGCCCACATCATAATCCCCAGAACCGACGGGTATGTTACTTTGCACGGCAAGAGGGAAAGCGAAGGCTCTTGAGGTGAGATTTTCCTGACTCACATGCAAGTGAACCCAAGGTCATCACAAGGGTCCTTACAAGGGACAGAGGGAGGCAGGAGGCTCAGAGAGGAGACATAATGACAGAAGCAGAGGTCTGAGTGATACGGAGCCAGGAGCCAAGGAATGCGGGCAGCCTCCAGGAGCTGGAAAGGGCAGTGAATGGATCCTCCTCCCTCCCAGCCTCAGGAAGGACACCGTCCTGCGGACGCCTAGATTGTAGCCCAGTGAGATCCATTTGAGACTCTGGCCTCCAGACTGTAAGATGGTGACCTTGAGTTGCTTTAAGCCATTAAGTCTGGAATGATTTGTTACAGCGACCAAAGGAAACTAACACAGCAAATGAGAGCTCCAGCCAGTGGACTTGGGTTCTGATGGTAAATATAACCATCCGTTCCTTTGTTGAGCAAATGCCGTACACTAGGCACCATGCACTGTGCTGAGAAAACACCCGGTGGTCGGAGCAAACATGGTCCCTCCCATCATGGAGCTTGTGACCAGTATCCTGCCCATCAATCTATTGCTTCCCATCTCCAATGTGCCCCTCATTACCTGTTCTGTGAAAATGGATCTGAGTCCTTAATATTTTTCCCTTGCCGAAAGGCAGCGTGCGGACGTTTGTATGTAAGGGCGCCAGAGAGAAGTTTCAGAGGGAAAGGGTCTGCTTTCCGACTGTGGTGCTCTCTCTGCGAGCTACTGCTGTGCAGGCACTGTGACGTCCCCAGCACGGGGGGCTCCCCTCGCGCCCCATTCCCACAGCACACAGCAGCTCCACTCGGCCTCCACCTTGAGTGCCTTGGTAGTACAGGTCTGGACCTCGGGGGGAGGGGGGACGGGGCTCTTCCTTGGGCACTCTGTCTCAGCCCTGGGGCGGGGGTGCTCCTGATGCCTTCCATTCGGACACTCTTGAGAGTTCTCTTCACTTCTGACTAAGCAATCCCTCGTTTTCCAGTCCTTGTTATAATTAATAACCCTTTAAATCAAACTTTTCCTGTTCAAATTCTTTCTCCTGATTGCAGCCAGACCGAGACACACGTGCACAAACAATCATATAAATGAGCATGAATTGCAGACAGCGGTGTGATCCACGAGAGGCAAGTCAGCAAGAATACAAGGTCAGAACTAATTCGGTCTGAGTAGCCAGGAGTTCGGTCTGAGTGGCCAGGAGAGGCCTCTCCACGTGGACCTTAGAGACAAGAAACCAGCCAAGCGGAGCATCAGCAGGCCCGGGACCCCCGTGGCTGTGCCCTGGATGCACAGGCTTCAGATGAACAGGACGTACCTGGACGTCAGAGTCACATCTTGCAATAAAACCAGAGCCGGCGGCACCTCCGGGTCCACTGTCTGAGGGGTTCTGGCCCCTTAGGTGACCCAGGCCCGGTTCCCAGGAGCACCTTCTCCTGCCTCCAGCCCGGGCCGGGTGGGCCCTCGCTGCCCCCAGGGCTCCCGACTCTCTTCTGCTCTGTGTCTGGCTTCTCATCTGTTCTAATTCCCGGGTATCTGAGCGCTTGCACTTAAATCACTCTGTTCAAACTGCGAAAGTGGTTTCTGCCTCTGGGTACAACCCCGTTCAATAACAAGGCCACATCCTGTGCACGTTCTGTGGACGAGTCACGCAGCTCCTTTATACCATGCAGCTGCCCAGATTCAGTTGCCACTGAGAAGGAAGAAAGGGGGTGGAGAGTAGGAGGGGGTTCGGGGGAGGAGGGGGGAGGGAGCAGAGGCAGATGGGGGAAGAGAGGTGGGAGAGGAAAGGGGAGGAGAAGAAAAGAAAGGAGGGGGAGGGGCAGGGGAGAAGAGAAGGGAAGGGGGGAAAGGAGGATGGGGGAGAAGGGGTGAGGAGGAGAGGGAGGGGGAGGGGAGGGGGAGGAGGGGAGAAGGCCTGGCCGGAAGGGGGAAAAGGAAGAAGCACCCAGAAGGCACTTCCCTCCCCGGAAGGCCACCCCCGGCGGTTGGGGGTCTGGAGAGCAGCTCAAACAAGCGATTAGAAAAGGATGAACTAGCAACCTCGGTCCCCCAGCAAACTTTCCGAAACAGCTCTGGTCCCCTGGGGTCATTTTGGAGCTGCTCTTCACAGAGATTTAGGAGACTGTGATACACACCACCACTCAGCAGCCCAACCCTCTGCTTTCCCGACAAAAGGAATTAAAGCCCAAATGCAAGAAACCTTCCCTAAGTAAAGACTGACCAGATGGGAAGCAACACACAGAGTCTAATAGTCAGAGACATGCCGCGTGCAGAGCACATGGACACCCAGCCTCTGCGGAGCAGCAGGGGAGGGGGAGACAGGGTGACTGGGCCAGGGCGGCAGCCAGTGCCGGCAGTCCCACCGCTGACGCCGCCTGGACGCCACACCTGGTGCAGAGCCCAGGCACCTGTCAGCAAGACACAGGGTCGGGGACGCCGGGCCCCGCAGGTCAGGGTCGGGGCTTTTCCGATCTGCCAGGTTCTTCCTTCCTGCGTGGGCTTCACCATCTCCTCCTCCTGCCCTCCCCGACTCTGGTCCGTCCCCGCTATGAGCCCTGACCCCGTGAAGGACATCCCGCTCGGCCAAGAGCCATCAGTGAGGTCTTGAGGCAGCATCATGAGAGAGGGTGTCACCACGGCCAAAGAGCGTTTGAGCGTCTGCAGCAAAGGCCCCTCAGGAAAGGTTATCCCAAGAGACAGGATGAGCATCTCCTGAAGCCCCAGAACAACAGAATAACTGCTTCCAGCGCCGGGCACTCTGCTCAGAAGCACACTTCCGGCAAGACGGTAAAACTCAAGTTCTGGCCAAGGAAACATGTTTGCAAGTCTTCAGTGGCCCTCAGAGCACTAAAGCAGTCCCAGTGCACCACCACCCACCGCTTGGCCGCATTACGATACAGTGTCTTCCACAGACACGGGCGGCAGACTGGGTTTGGTCTGTGGGCTGCACTGGGCCAACCAGGAGTCAATCTCCCTGTCCTGGTTCAGTCTCCCCTTCAGCTCCTCTCTGAACCGGCACCTGCCCATCAGAGGAGAGCACGATGCTCTCCCTGGGGATTCCGTCCTCAGAAGCGACGGGAGGCTCCGGGATCCCCAGTGAATCACCTGCTACATGTTAACCATAGAGCAACATTGTAAGGACCGGGAGTAAAGATGTAACCCAGCTTCAGCCAGATCCAGGTTGATCTGGAGAATCAGAACAGCCTCATTTTGTCTTAATCTCTACATCCATCCATCTCTGCCCCTTCACAGGGCCATTTCCTGCTGACTGTGGTCGCCCCAAACCCAACATGCAGATTGCTGCTGACCGGGGTAAGCTCGTCAGGCTAACTTTCAAGAACTAGATGAACCCAGCAGCCCGGCATTCATTCCCAGCATATATGAACTGTCTCAGGCCCTGGTCTGACCTGGGGTCACAGATGTGGACACGACTGACCAGGGAGGACACCGTAGTGAGCCCTGCACCCCAGCACCGACGGCATCCATGAAGATGAAACAGCGTGGTGATGTGAGCAGACAGTGATGGGCAAGGGGGACAGAGAGTCAGTTCTGGCCAACGTGGTCGGGGAAGGGTGCATCTCTTAACAGTTACGTCGAAGAGAAGGAGCCAGGCTCGGGGAGACTTTGGGAAAGTGTCTCGGGCATAGACGAGAGCAAGAACACAGATACGGGTATCGCAGAATTAATTGGAGGAGCTTGGCTTTTGTTTGCAAGGATCTTAATGCTGGTATCCAACCTGAGTATGAATGACAGAAGCACCCACAGACTGCCCGAGAATATCTGGGTGCTGATGCCCACACTTTGGCCCAGACAGGAAGGTCAAAGCAATGCAAAAGGCTTCACGTCCCACTGAACGTTCCTGGTGTGGGAAAGGGTATTAGGTATTGATGATCCCTGTGGCCCAGCAGCACTGTCCTTTTCACATTCTAGAGCCTCAGGCATGACCCTGCTCTCGGGTGTGGCCCCCGAGCCTGGCTGTGAAGGGAGCCTCAACCAAACTCAGAAGAAACATCTGCCCTCTTCAGGCCGGGAATGGAAACACAAGTGCTGCAGACTCCAGGGCCTTGTGCAGGCTCCGCTGGCCAGACGCTAACAAGGCTCCTTCTGTTCAGCTCACTTCTCAGTTGCCCGCACCCCCCCCCCCCCGTACCTGGGAACGGCCCGAAGCTGAGGGACTTGGGTAGCTCGCTCACCTGCAGAGCGCTGCCCCACGCAGGCTCCTGACACAGCACTTAGTCCCGACGTGGGCACAGACGGAGACAAGAAAGGACAAGGGCTCCCCGGGAAAAGTCCCCCAATATCCACAGGGACAAGCGATTCACGGTAGACCCCAAATAGTTCCCAAAAAGGCATTATGGGAAGTAAGCAAATAAAATGTACTCTAAGCGCATTTCCTTTGCTTCAACGACTTCATCAAGAGCATAAAAAATAACAGATGATAAGACACTTCCTGTTTCTTTGAGTATTAAAAGTACTCAAAGTAAACTTGGTGGTGACCCTCTGCCGAAGCTCGAATTGCTCACCATCGCAAGAGGGACGATGCCCACAAAGGACGACTCGCTGACAAAGATCTCAGAGACGGCCAGCTCGCTCATGGAGTCCTCCACTGGGTATTCCACCTGCCAGGTGATGGGCTGGGCCCCGGCCAGGCCGCTGCTGTTGTCGATCCCGAAGTCCACTTGCAAGATCTCATACACAGAGCCATTCGCTCTGGAAAACAAACACATGTTAAAGCGCAATTTAAAACCTGACACTCAGCAGAACATCAAGAATGTAATAAATTGCCACATTCCTCGTTGCCAGGCGAAAGGGTGACTGCCAACTTCAACAGGGTGCACGGCCGTGCCAGCGGAGCCGCCAGCCCCACACACGGCGAGGGGCCTGAGCCTCCTGTCTGCTGTGGCCCCGCCCGACGCACGCACACGCCGCCATCCCGCCCGACGCACCGCACACGGCGAGGGGCCTGAGCCTCCTGTCTGGTGTCACCGTTGCTCCATTCCTGAGGTCTGTCCTGGATTCTGGCTTAGCTGTGTGTACCAACCAGGGGTTCAAACTCTGAGCTCTAGGATCTGGGAAGAATGGGCTGCGGGCAGCATCACGAGATGAGCGTGTGAAGGGCTCCCTAACTTCCTGGTTCGCTACATCAGCAACATATAAGATGTTACAGTAGATTGCTCACTCCGTGAGCCCGAAATGGGATGAGAGGTAAGAGTAATTAATCCACCTGCCTTAATTCACGAGCTGATAGCACTGCACGTGTGTTTGCAGTGAGGAAGAAGGTGGATGGGACTCTTACAGGTGAAAAAGCCCAGAACACCTGGGGGCTCAGCTGGTTAAGTGTCCAACTTCAGCTCAGGTCATGATCTCACAGATAGTGGGTTCAGCCTCGCATCGGGCTCTGTGCTGACAGCTCAGAGCTCAGAGTCTGCTTCAGATTCTGTGTCTCCCTCTCTCTCTGCCTCTGCCCCGCTTGTGTGCTCACTCTCTCGCTCTCTCTCTCATGTTACTCTAATAGAGTGGCCACTAGCCAGAAGCAGCTACTTAAACTGAAATAGAAATTTATTAAAATAACGCCGGCGGGTGTTCCCAGCTGAGCTGAAGCTGGGTGTGGGACATGTGAGCTATGAGTCCTCAAATATCTGCCATGTTCCGCATGGGGAAGACAGTGTGTGCTGCACAGAGATCCCCGGCCTCGTGAGAAGGTGGACAGTGGGCACATGTGGGGACCCCCACCAGTGGACCCCAATTTACCTGGGCATCTTTAGTGAGGAGGCAAAGAAGAGGGAGATGAAGGGCTGACTCTGAGCTGGTGAAAGGATTTCAGGGTCTCAGGGACGGAGGCACCCACTCCACTCCCCTCATTCCCCACCCACCACACTCCAGCCTGAAGTCTCTCCTCTCTGGTCACAGGAATTCCTCACTTCTCCATCTGCTGAGTGTTGTCCTATAAGAAATGCTCGGTCCTTTCGGACCAGATCTTCGACTCCTCTTTGGGCTGCACCATGTGCTTATGACCATGGCTTGAGAGCTGCTTCTAATACCTCTAGGCTTCTCAGCATCCCGTGGATCCCAGCAAAGCGAACGCCCAGAAAGGGAGACCCCAGCAAGAGAAGGGAAGGAGCATGACTCTCTGCTATCGGCAGCGTCATCCTGCTAAATCTGCACTCTGGCCTTGGGGTACAGTAGCAGCTGGTCTTTGGGCAAAGAGGACAGCCCCTTCTCCGCGGGCCCTTCCTTCTCCTCTCTGAGCGTCCAGTCCATGAGCTGGACCAGCTACGGGGATCGGCCCTAGTGCAGCTACAAATGGAGTAATGATCAACTCAGAGTCACTTTTATGCTCAAGTTTTTATTTTAAGTCATTTCCCTCAAACCGGAAAGGCTGTCTTTCACCTTCAGGCAGCTGGTGTGCTTGCTAATAAGGCCATTTCTATGGAAATGGGTTTATAATTATTAACTCTACCTGCTCCTGATCTATTCTCGATAAACCTTTCAGACTTCGGACAGTGTTTCATGGTCCTCTCGATTTAATAATTACCAACTGCCTTTGAGGAATCTGGATCAGTACTGCAGCCAGGAGACATTCATTAGACACTTCTCCCTGGGGTGGAGAAGTGAGTGTGTGCGTGTGTGCATGCATGTGTGTGCACGTGTGCGCAGGTGTGTGTTGGGAGCGGTCAGGCAGGAAATGGGGCTCGGCTACTTTTCCCCTCAAGTGATAGTACACAGCATCCTCCCGAAAGGACTTGGTTCCCCAAATGCTGTTCCCCACGGAAGTGTCTGCTTCAGTAAAAGCTGAGCCTCTCTCCTGGGACCCTGGGACCCCAGGGGTGGGGCGGAGACAGCTTTTAAATGCACAGCGTGGCTACAGCTCAGACATGTCAGCAAGAAGGAGAGGGAGGTGGGCCAGGAGAGGGGAACGGGGGTCCGACCCAGCAGCTCGTCCCCTGAAGCCACGCGCAGCCGTTTCTCAGCATGTAACCTATGAGGACAAACAATTACAACTGGGTTTTTGGGGTGTTTTTTTGATGGGGGAGGGAGGCAGTGACAGAGAAGGAGAAAGGGAAGAAGAAATGAAAGAAGTGGGGAGAGAGGCGGGGTTCACAAGCCTGAACTCCTCTTGGGGCGCCTGGGGGCTCAGTCGGTTAAGCATCCGACTTCCACTCAGGTCATGATCTCATGGTTCATGAGTTCAAGGCTCGCGTCGGGCTCTGTGTTGACAGCTTCGAGCCTGATTCTGTGTTTCCCTCTCTCTCTGCTCCTCCCCTGCTTCCTCCCTCCCTCCCTCCTTCCCTCCCTCCCTCCCTCCCTCTCTCTCTCTCCGAAATAAACATAAAAAAAACTTTTTAAAATCAAAAGCTTGAACTCCTTTCCAGCAAACTGCACCATTTACATATATTTTTATCCCCCAACCTCCAGAAACTTCCAGATAGTTCTGAGCTACCAGACTGAGATGCTGAAGCTTTCCCCACATGAGTTTCTCTAGAAATGCAGCAAGCGGGGCTGACCTCTGTCAGGGTCTCTGTCTTAAGAGCCTTTCTCTGGTCATTACTTCTTAAGTGACCACAAATCAAGGGACATACTGACCCACAGTGAGCGAATGCCCCAGTGTGGGACCCGCTGGGACTCCCAGCAAGTCCAGGAGACCGAAGTCTGCCATCCTGTCTAGACTGTTCACTCCGTGAGGACATGGGTGCATCTGGAGCAGCTGGCACAGAACCCAGAAAACTGTAGGGATTCGATACATATTTGTTTAATTCGACGAACGTACCGAAAAGGCCCAGAAGGACACCCCGTAAAAACCCCGGGGGGTGTCACTTACCTTCTGGGACAGAAGAAGCTACCAGTCAGCTGAATTCTGAGCCATATTATTACGTGTGCCTGGTAAGTATATTTATATATACTCCTTGCTCTGGGAAGGTATGTCTGTCTCCACTATTACAATGTAATTCTCTTCTTTTTTCTTTTAAGATTTTGTTCTTTTTTCCCAACAGTTTTCAGTTCACAGCAAAATTGAGGGGAGGGTATGGAGATTTCCCACCCACCCTACAAGCTTCCCCCACTATCAACATCCCCAGCAGATGGCACATTTGTCATCGTCAATGAAGATACGTTGACATACCACCCGAAGTCCATGACTGACATTAGGGTTCACTCTCGGGATGTACACCCTGTAGGTTTAGACAAACATATCATGACACGGGTCTACGCATGGTGGTGTGGAGAGTGTTCTCACCACCCTGCCTATTCCGCTCTCCTCCACTCCATCCCTGGCAACCACTGATCTTTACCGTCTCCGTGATTTTGCCTTTTCCAGAATGCCCTATCGCTGGAATCCTATGCAATGCAGCCTCTTCAGATTGGCTTCTTTCACTTAGTCATATGCACGTAAGATTCCTCCACATCTTTTCATGGCCAGAAAGCTCATTCCTTTTTAGTGCTGAATAACATTCCATTGCCTGGATGGACCACAGTTTTTTTATCCATTCACCTAGTGAAGGACATCTTGATTTGTGGACATAGGTTTTCAACTTCTTTCGGTGAAATACCAAGGAGCATGATTGCTGGATGGTATGAACCTAATTCTTCAAACACCAAAACCTATTATAACACCAGGGTCATTACGGTCCCTGGCACATTCATTTTATCCAGTGACATGTATTAAGCACATGTGATGTGTTGGGCACTGAGAATTCATTCATCGTATACAAAACAGACAGGATCCTGTCTTACTAATCAGGTAAATAAATAAGGTAAGTCCTGGTTGTGAAAAACCTATCCTAAAAATAAAATAGAATTGAACTTTAAAAAAAAAAAAGCTAAATAAGTTTTGTTCAATTAAAAACTTTTAAACACAATTTTAAAATAGTCCATTTTTACTTCTTTAAAAATTTTTTAACATTTATTTATTTTTGAGAGAGAGAGAGCAAGTGCATGAGCCGGGGAGGGGCAGAGAGAGATGGAGACACAGAATCCAAAGTGGGTTCCAGGCTCTGAGCTGTCAGCACAGAGCCTAATGCAGGGCTCGAATTCTCAGACTGTGAGATCATGACCTGAGCTGAAGTCGGACGCTTAACCTACTGAGCCACCCTGGTGCCCCCATTTTTACTTTAAACTAGACTACAGACCCCAACAGGAGACAATGAAAGGTGTTCAGGGCCTGCCCCTATAAGAAACTGGCATTTGAGCTGAGACCCAGAAGAATGAAGAGAAACCAAACAGATCCTCAGCAAATGTTTGTCGAATAAATGAGTAAATCTATTTTGAGTTTAAAAAAAAAAAATCATGGGAAAGTTTATCCCAAACCATCAGCATGAACACAAGGTGCTAAATGAAAAAGAACATCCAGTCTTTGTTCAAATACCACCTGCTCAGTAAAGTCTCTCCTGACCACACTATCCATCCCCCATCCCTACACTTCTGATCCATTAGCCAGCTCCATGTTTTCTATAGCTTTTACCATTTAACTACTAAGTGATGGATGGATGGATGGATGGATGGATGGATGGATGGATGCATGGATGCATGGATGGGTGGATAGACGGGGGCATGCCTGAGTGGCTCAGTTGGTTAAGCATCTGACTCCTGACTTCGGCTCAGGTCATGATCTTACAGTTTGTGAGTTCAAGCCCCACACTGGGCTCTGTGCTGACAACACAGAGCCTGCTTACAATTCTCTCTCTCCCAGCCCTCTCTCTCTGCCCCTCCCCCAC